GAACAAGTTTTTTGAAAAATCCCGGGATACATTTTTTTTGTACAGTTGTACTAGCAGTCGCTTCGATATTCACTAATTAGTCGCATCGGACGGAAATTGACAGTCCTGATACTATGGGAATTCTCGTTGAGTCAAATTTATGTATTACAAAAAAAGAGGAAAAATTTTGAAAAAAAAAATTTCATCAATAACTTTTTTTATGGTCCAGATTTTCGGATGCTGGGGACAATTGAAACGTAACAATGAAAAGATGTCGATTTGATGTCTATACGAATGGAATTGCTACGGTCGTATGACAGTTAGTAAATTCCCTGCGATTCCTCGATTCTCAAAAAAAAAAAAAAAAAAAAAAAAAAAAAAAAAAAAAAAAAAAAAAAAAAAAAAAAAAAAAAAAAAAAATAAAATAAAAAAAAACTTATCACTCATATAAGTTTACATATCCCTAGATGCATCGTCAAATGATAAATATCGAACAGCGATTTATCTCGTAACGATATCTCGATATCGATGTCACATAATAACGAGCATAGACTCGAGTATGTCTTTCCACGTTCGGAGTTTCGGAATTGCGAAATCCTTGAGAATCGTTCAGACTGTCGCCCCATATAGTATGCCTGTATACATCAGGATTATATATACATATATAGAAATATCAGGCGAAGATAGGTACAAATACGATGCTATATGACAGGTTGATATATAGGTGAATTTTTATGCGACCGATGTTTTTGCTACATCACCAAGATGAATCTCTGATATATTGCAGCCGAACGCTAGAGTTGGCAGAGAATCGATAGGAATGATTTCGATTTTAGATTGGCTTTTCCGACCGCAGATATCCTCAGCCCCCCCGCCACCCACGCGGCAGACTCCTTTCTACCAATTTCTCTCATTCTCTCCTTTCCCACGAGTTTCCACTCAATACGCCTCTTACTTCTTTCCACGTACACTTGGATCTCGTATTTTCCATTGCTCTACGGTCTCAGGAAATCGAGTGTACCGGCGCGCCACTGCGATAGCCTGGATAGTGTGAAAAAGCTACATTGAAAAGCTCGACTTCCATCGGACGATTAAAAAGCCCAAAAGGAAGTATACCATTCGCTGGGATATACATATATACACGTATAAAGTAAAAACGTGACATTCGATCTTCGGCAATCGTACCCATTTCCAACGCAACGATTTTTTCTCGCCGACCTAATCCAACCTGACCTCAGCTTAACGTCTAAGACGTTTTTCATGAGAAATCCTCGATATATATATATATATGATCCTAATTGCAGATTAATTTTTTATAATAATATAGCGTTATTAGAAAAAGTCCTATGTGATAATTATTACTGATAACATATATGCTGTATATGTATTTTAACACGTATCCATCGTAATTAATTGCCTGACGTACAGTTACGAGAGTGGCTCGTACTTGGTATACATATACCGGGTGTCCGGCTGGGTTCAGACTGAAGGGTCGCGAAATTTCGTAACCGAATCGGATATAGCTTTTCACGCCTGCGCGTCGTTATATCCCTTTTCAACGTTAGCGAAAATATCGTGGGCACGGCTAAACCAAGGACCTCGGGATTTATTTTATTTTCGGAGGAAACTCGAGGATTAGGCTCAAAGACGAAAAACCCTTGTACGGAGATTACACGGGAAAACTTTGTCCTTTCGAAATCTACGGCGATGAGGAACGAGCACGCGTCGTCACTTCGAGAATGCTGATTTGAAGGGAACGACGAGAACTGAACCGAAAGGAAGTCTTTGTGTGTATGCATTACTTTGCGTTCCTTTCGACTTTTTGAATTTTTTTTTTTTTTTGAGAAAATTCTTTCGCGATACTTCAGGAAATGAAAACTCGGATTTACATACTCATTATATATGTATATAATATGTATGAACGAATACGCGTGTAATACGGTTCTCATATTTTCCTCAGTTTCGTGATTCTTGAAGTTTTTGAAAAATTTATTTCGACTCACTTTTTTTAGTCGCTATGGAAACGAGCTCCTTGGGACAATTCTTGTTGAATTTTGAAAATTTTACGGTGACTGGTGTTTAAAGGGTATTAAACTATATTTTTTGTTGGACCATTTGTTAGCGAACTTCGTTATCGTGAGAATTAAAAATTCTACAATTATGATTATAATTAATTAGTAATAATAACTCGACCCAATGACACCATTAGAGCCACGAAGTTTACTCACGAAATGTCATTTGATCAGAATTCTAAATATTGTCAGGATATAAATTGTTAGGTAACAATATGAAATGGTTCACGTAACAGTGGTCATTATAAAAAAAAAAAAAAAAAAACCGAAAAAGACTCTTTAGGGACGCGAATCGTAAATCCTATGTGATACGGATAGGGTGGGTAGCTATAAAAAAATTTAAGCCCGAAAAATTGTGGACGTGAACATTTTCAAAAAAAAAAAAAATAAATAAATAAATAATAATAATGGGGATACGATCCCGCAACACTTTGAGCTTTTCTCCATCTTCGAGTATAGTCACGAACGCGTTTGCTTTCTGCTTGTAACCTTTTTACCGGGAACAAAGCTAATGAAGGAAAGATCAAAGGTAATTGCGACGATTGCGTCAGAGGGAATCTTGAAAAATGGAATGAAAATTGCGCAATAGGCAGGAGACCGGTTTGCTCGCAATGATAACCGCCTGCCGACCCTTATTTGAGATTCCTAAGGAAGCTCACCGGATTCCCCCATTGGATCTTTTCCAATTCACATCGGTACCATAAAGATTTACTACCCTTAAGGATGACGAAACATTTTTCTTTCCCGTATCGAGAATTCCCCCGACTGTCCAAATAACTTGAATGCCCTTTTTATCACAGTCCGGAAATAATAAATATAGGTATACGCGCGTGAAGAAAATAATAATTAAAAATATTAAAAGATTTGAATTTTTTTTTAACTAAATACAAAAAAAGAAAAAACGTCAGAGAAACAATATCAAGAAAATATCACTCATTCGCTTTGGCTGGAATTTGGTCTTTCGCTATAAAAAAAAAAAATAATATCAGTCGAGTAGCGCTAGTTCGAAAGTACGAAATATAGCGCTGTACAATTTAGCACTGCCATCCCAGGTATAATTCTGCATTTCGAAAGTCCGAAATTGCCATGAGATAGGAAAGTTACGTAACGTCCAGAGAATTTCTGGAAACGTAATATGAACTTTGACATTTACGTAATACCAGTTACGATATCACTGTGAACTACCCTTAATTCAAATACAGTATCAGATTATCTAATTAATCATATGGATCATTGATAAGTATAAAAGAATTAAGTCTATTATTTTTCTTTATAATATCCAACAGTTATCACAAATTGCTTGGCATCCCCTTCGCACGCCCTTCGAGTTCAAGGGTTAAAGTTCCAAGTATTTGGAACTTTATTAAGGGGAGGCCCGGCACGCCCCAACACCTGTACCCCATATATCCTCCGTATACGACTACCAGATCGCGGAGACTAAAAGTTAGAGGACAGAGCCAGACACATAATACCAGGCATCCACCAAAGCACAGAGTAACAGGGTGCAATGGGGTGAAATTCGCAAGGGATGAATTCGCTGATCTCGCGTAAACCGTCTATTCATGCATCATTCATATTAGCATCGACGAATTCGCTCATACAACACCCTATGCTCGAGTGCTAAGGGCTCTTGGAGTTCAGACGTAATCTGCACTCAGTGTGAGTTATGGATAACGGACTATAGAATAATTTTAAGCAAACTTGAATAGATCAATAAATTTTCGATAATACAATTCGGATTTCACTATAGGTACGTATAGTTTCCATTTTAGCATAATACAAATTGCTAATCGTCTACGTAGATGACCTTCGACCTCCCCACTGTGATCCAATATAAAATTTTCATATGAAATCAATAAATTTTAATTGATATAAAGAAGATTTGTATATTGGATAAAATAAAAAATTGAATATATCATAAAATTTCAATGGGTTGTCCTAAGGAATTTTATAATTGACAATTTTCCATTAAAATATGTAAAATGGGCCATTGTGTCAATTAACGTAACATAAGGTATGTAATGAAGATATGAAATATGGAAAATATATGGAGCTAATAAATTCATTATTGTTCCAGACTTTAATAAGGGACATCCAATAGTATTACCTGGGACAGTTAAGATATTTCTTAAGAGATCAATCTGTAGCTTAATTATATATGGCGGAAAGAGCTTAAAAGCAGCAGGGAATGCGTATGGAATACGAATTCTTAATTTGATAATATCGTAATGGGCGAGGATTCATACATCAGCGTCTTTGAGTATACAATGTGAAGCGTATGAGAACAGCGAGATACGCCTCTAGATATCCCTAAGGCTCGGTACACACCTGAATTCGTTTTGTTAGGACCTGAATTTCATTAGTGGACTTTCTAGGGCCAGAATAGAAACATAAATTGATTCCACAGTCAACTGGGTTTCAGGCTTGAGACTTTATGGTATAGGGGAACTTCGTAATCCGCGCCCTTGCTGAGAATATTTTTCGGGCTGTGTATTTACCTTTACTGTAGAAACCGACATTAACGACGGACATAGAATAATTAACGTTAAAGCTATGAACACGTATATAGGAATATATGAGCTCCGTAAGAGTATTAAATCACAGGGTACTATGTCGTAGTTTATTTTGAATAATGTGAATAACGAAATTTTCCCTTTCTATGGAATATCGTAAAGCTTGAAATACACGTAGCCCAGGGAACTTATGGCCAGTACGAAAATTTCCTTTGTATGAAAAAATAACCTAACCTAAATTCTTGCGATGTTTTTACGAGAGCAGTACATCGTTGAATATCGAGTTTTACTATGACCAACCCGGTAGTGGGTTTAGACAGTATTTTTTTTTACTGTATAAAAATAGTTTCGATGGACACCGGTGCAATTTAGTTCTTTTTGAATTTAAAATTTCGGTCGGGTTTATTCTTTGTTTCAGTGGCAACGGGTTACTTACCCCAAAAGGAAGCAAATGAAACGGAAATAAAACTGCCGCCGGGGTCTCGACTCGGCCGGTACCTGTAGCCCAGAGTCAGGTAAATAAAAAAGAGAAAAATAAATAAAAGTAAAGAGTAAAATAAAAATGAAAAGGACCCGAGCGGCACTCAATTCAATGGATGAATGGATGCATTGTTACTGGAGAGTGCAATGGCACAGTGACAGCGGACGAATTCGGAGACGCAGTATTTACGTTCGTGGCTGCTCGGCTGTCGTCGGGTGTATTCGTTCTCCGAATAAAAAAAAGTGGTTGTCACTAATGAAAGCGACGACGGTAGGGGCTGAGTTATTATCATGAATTGTAACTGACCGTTCGCTTTCTTGTTGTCGGTTCCAATTAAGACATTTTGATTGGGACGCGGAGAACTTGCACTGCCTGATTTCCTGTTCTGAACACTGAACAAACAGGAATAACGAATCAATTATCGCAGCGGTAGCGGTGATTTGAAAATTAGGGAAAATTGTTAGAAAATTCTTTTAACTCGTAAATTTTAGCACTTACACATCTTCGCTTCATTGGAATCACCCTATGGTATACACTTGATCGTCACAGATTTGACACTTGTTTCCCAGCAAACACAAAGTGACAGTTACGTATCAGCAATGTTAAAAAGTTCACCTCAACTAATTAACAGTCTGCTGAGTTGTATCAATTGTCATCCTATTTAGTTAACACAAAAACTCACTAGTCCCCGCACAGACATTCCACAATTAGGCATTGATAATTATTTCACAGTTCGCACAGAAGTCTTCATTCCAACCTCAAAAAAAAAGTTAGCACACAACCTCAGAGCAAATATCGTGGAATTGAAATAAATTCTTCGTCTAATCACGTACACAGTGTTAAATCTGTTGCAAAGAAAACAGTGTTAGTTGTGAATATTTTGAAAGGATAACCTATAATTACAAAATGAACTTTGCCCTGGATCAATGGCCTGTATGGGTACGTGATATGACATAAAACTGTAGAAAAGAATTAATACCTATTTTTAGCAGAGAATACAGTGCTTACAAAAGGGCTCAATTTTCACTTTCGCAAAGTGCTCCGACAATAAGAAGAATAGGTGTCATTAATCCGCAAGAAGGAAAACTTTACCAAGGCTGTGTGCTACAAGAGGGGGACAGTATATACCTTCGTACGTGTTTTATGTGCTGATTCGACCAGGAGGACACGTACACGTATCCACGACAATAGCGGATGGTCCTAATTGCAAATAGACGTGGGCACTTTGTGATATACGAGAACGCGGTAAAAAGCAGCAACAGTGGCGCCACACGTGCCAGAGACAGGAACGAATGAAGTGGATGGTAACTGTTGCACGGCCATCTTGTGGTGAGCGGGAAGAGCTCGTAAAGGGGTCTTACTTACCAAAGAAAGACATGAACGCGGAGAACGGGGGGGTACGGGAAGGAGATTGAGTATATCTTTCAATTTATATAATTGCCCCAGACAATTTGCACTGCAGGGTGTTTAACGTTCGCACTGTAATTCTGTCTCGTGGATTGTGCATACAACATATGTAAGTGGCATCATTGCACGATGAACATTGCACATTGGACTGTGCAGACGCACTGAAAACATGGCTTACCGACTGGATGATAATTCGAGCAAGTGCCAACGTACGTACATAAGTGCAACTTACGTTTCGTTAATTGTGCCTAATTGTGCGCAATTACTACAAATGGTGGAATAACAAGGCGCTCCTTATACTATGGATGTAACCATCGTTTTTAATTCTTGAGTGGCAGAGGTTGAGGGTGGGCCCACTGAATCTAGATTAATTAGACCATTCGAGCTGTTAGTCATCGACTTTTTTACAAGTGAATTAATTAAAATTGTTATTGGATAATTATTATCGAAATTTATAATTGCCTTGACTTTTTTTTAACCTCCAATTCTATATTCGAAAATACTTATACGACAAATTTAATCGTTTCGTGAACCCAATCAACGTACACCCTACGCTCCATGGAATATAACAGTAATTAAGAACAGTACGTTGCCTTTGACGTTATTACTGTAAATTACGTCGTGTGTAACATCCTCGCCTTCGTCTTGTTTGCTTCAACCTGCTTGCCAGTCCAAGTTGTTCCGAACCCATGCAACCACTCATCTCCATAGTTGGGTCTAGCAGTAGAACTTTACTATGTTGATATACATTTCTTAGCGGTAGCTTAGCTACAAGTTATTGATTAAAACAAAGAAAGCGTCGAACAACAATACACAAGTAGCTACCTGAATTATAGTTCCTAGTGTACTCGTAAACGTAATTCTGGCGCTCTGACGCATTTGACGTTTTATCGTAGAACCGGTACAGTCTGTTGTCGCAGCAACCGCTAGAGCGCTCCAGTGTAAATAGTTGATAAACACTTTCCCGAATTGCTCCGTATACGATTCCCGTTTAATGATGTGTACCAATTAGACTCGATAAGAGGACACAGTCAGGTGCAGCAAACAATGTCAATAATTGATCTGTGGGGGAAAATCTATAATCAAACAAATTAAATGGACCAAAATAGTGTCAATGATTAACGAAGCTACTCCCTTCCCGTACGAACCTCTGTTATTGGACCTGTGAGTCATTACGAGTGACATTTCTCGGACACCCGGTACAATGAAAATTTCCCAAGAACAGCCGATTGACAATGATGACGCTTTCCTAGAAATTCGATTCAATCTTAGGAACGTCCAATCAGCTTATTCAACCCGTTTGGCTCCACCTCACGTGGAACGTCCGGGACATTTGCGTCGTAATTGGTAGGCGAGTGTAATTAATTACCATAATTAATTGAGAGACCAAGTAGACATCGTACCCTCAGAATAAGGTGGTCTTCACACCAAATTTACGGAGACACTAAACGCGCCCCTTGTCTCAATTACGGAAACATGCCAGTGATCGGATCAATAAATATAATCAATATACGATTGCCCAATTGAATTTCAAGGTCCATAACTTTCAGGATGATCGATCGTCGAATATGAATTTCGATAAAAAAACAATACCACCATTAAATTCGTTTCCTGATTCGCCCGTAACCACCACCTACGTAATAAATACAACGTATACCACGAGTATGAAAATTAATAATTAAAATTTCCAAAAACCCTTTTTTTCTTCATATACACGTAGAGTGGCACTCAAACGAATTTCCCTAAACAGACTAACGGGACAGTGCGAAATAATACCTTAAGGTCGATTCACATCAATTAAAAGATTGATAATCCGCTTAAGACACGCCACTTCATTAATTTACCTAACGAGACAAGACACCTCGGTATCCCAACTGTGGATCCCCAAGAAAGTTAAGCAGAAGTGACGACTGACAACAAGTAGTAAACAGAGACAAGACCGGTAGTAATTCCATCTACAAGGATACTGTGTAATGGACCAATCCGGTTCTACCCTAAGAAACGATAAATTCGTCTTAACGTCAGCATATCTTAACGCGTCGTACGTAATCCAAAATGATCCCTTCGTACTTTTACTAGATCTCGAGAAACTTTCGATTGCGCAGAAGTGCACTGCGCAGGTTCGATAAACAAACATTTTCCGACCAGCTTCCTTCCTTTCCTTATGGCTGATTTATGTGCCGGACCAGCTACCGCCTACGGACTGTATCCGTAAACAGACGTCACCGTCGATCACGCTAAGAGCCAACACCAACCGGCCAATTTCTGTGTTTCGGATCCGTTCGGCTAACCTCGTACGAAATGCCGAAAGCGTAAAATCAGCGCACCGATCGCCCGAGAACTTGATTCGTCCGCAATAATCACGTTTCGGGTTATTCGCCTTCGATTGTGTCAACTATTTGGACACCGTCGGCCTGATTGCGTTTTGTCAAATGCGACTATGGTAATGCCATTAATGTCCCAGAGCTCACTCGATATCGTCCAGTGTGCAGTTACCAGTGGTACCTGTATAGTTACTGCTAGTGGTATAGCGCCGCTACTACTATTTTATACATACTATATACCAAAATGGTACAGGCTAGTAGTTACTATCGAGTATAGTTAATAGCTACTGGGCTAGGGGGCAGACGAGGGGTAGCTTGTCTGGCTACGAAACTTTCCAACTGTTCTCCTAAAGGTGTTGAGGTTTAATCGGGGAAATTCAGTACGGCCGGATTACAGATTGGAGCTCGGAGCTTCGGCAACAATCAGCTGTGCTTTGCTGCAAGGAATTTCAAACGTTTATATATATATATATATATATATACGTCACTTACATCTCTTAGCTGTGAGTTCCATGTGAACGTCGAGATTCAAGTCTTGAGATTTCTATGAGATAATGAGACAGGGTTGGTTGGGTGGAAACCAATCACTCTGGTACTAATTAAAATTTGAATACTATATATATAGAGCTTTGACATTTTTACCAAGTTTTACTGTGTAAATGTGCAGTATAAAGATACGAAGTAAACAAAGTACTAGAGTTTTCTGGTAGAGGGAATAATTTTTTGAAAATTTACGCGAAATATATTTTTTTCGCGTTCATTGCGGAGAGTGACTTGTATATAATAATTATGTATAGGCGTGTACGGAGATTCATTATTTAAAAAGCAGATCACGTCCACTAAAAGTATGGTTAACGGGAGGAGTCAGGACTGTCAAGACACCTTACCGAGATTGATGACTGATAACCGTAATATCATATGGATACAAGATATGATGTTATCAGTCAAGAAACGATAGTGCCATTACTTATACGTGGATGCCGAGAAGAATCGTTTGGTCCATGAAAAGCTTCATCTTACGCGTAACCCACCGTTCTCATGCTCTATAGAGATTGTGCTTTCAGAAAAGTGTCATCCTCTCGAAGCCGTAAAGAAGTGGCTGTCGGTTGAATAATAAATAGCCGATCTTTACTATTATTATTTTTTTTATCTTTTTCACGGAAAAAAGACGCCGCGATACTTACGCTTGCGACGTGATGAGATCGTGAGAAAAATGAGATTCCCGGATCGAGTGAAGGTAAAAATCACGTAAAAAGAAAAAAAGGTCCGAAAAAAAAATATATATTCGTAAAAAATTGCCCTCAGATTTCAAGTTCATCGAAACGTCAAAACGATTGGGCGATTAATTTCGTCGTCACGAAAACCAAATATAAAAAAAAAGAATGC